AACCTTGTGGATGGCCTTCCCAGAAGAGTTGAAGCTGTTATAGCTGCAAATGGTGGACCGACCTCATATTGAAACCTATGGATTAGGAATGGGATGTCACTTACAGTAAGTTCATATGCGAGTAAAGGCAAGTGAGCGAATACTTTTGGCAATATGATTTCTTGAGTTTCCTATTGAAGGAAAACTAGGATATAAATGTTCTAAACAGGTAGCAAAAAGCCAACACTATTTGCTTTTTCAAATGCAGTTGATGAGGTGCGGTGCAGAACTGCCTCAGGGAAGAATATCCAGCCAATTTCAGAAGCAAGAAGCAATTTTTGTCTCTTGGTTTGAACTGGAAATTAATGAACGATCCTTAACCCATGACAAATTAACAGTTAATGTCCATCGGCTAAATGCACACCTTGGTAGGCTTTTTGGTGATCAGCCATGGAAGGCCTTCAGGGTCAGGGCATGTAGGTGTGCAAGCTAAGCATTCCCTAAAGGCACCTTGACACAGGGGTGCCTAATTAAATTTTAAAATCAATTCTACATTCTGAACACCCAACTGCATCTTCTCACTTGTATCAGATTTCCCTTCTTTCGAAACAAGGGCTGCCTCTCTTTTCAGAGAAACCGTATGCATTGTGCAATCTGAAACTATCAATGCAACTAACATCTTCTAGTGATAATATTGCTGCAATACAGAAAACACTTTGCACAAAGTAGCCTTATAGATCAGCTGTGGTCCTGAAGCTCTTCAATCCGGAAGGATCCCCTAACGGTGAACCTGTATGACATCGTTAAAAAAGATGGCATCCTAGCAGCGTCCTTCTGCCGTGACTCGTTCCCCAACCCAAAGATACTCCTAACAAACAAGAAATGCCATTTTTAAAAGGAAGACAGATTTTAGGAATGGTTTCCATTGTCCACTTTGTTTTGTAGAATCTGGGGAACTTGATTTTAAAAAGGAGAATATTTCCACCACGTGACAAATTCTACAGACTGTTAATACTTATAAAATAACACTATTTTTGGGTAGCTCTTCAAACTATCCCTAACCTGAATATTTTCCAATTGAGTGGGCTTCAATTCACTTTACTCTAAGCTGTTTACAGAGTCAGGCTATTGCCCCCAACAATTTGGGTCCTCATTTGACCAACCTCAGAAGGATGGAAGGCTGAGTCAACCTTTGAGCCTGGTGAGATTCAAACTGCCAAATTGCAGGCAGCAGGCAGTCAGCAGAAGTAGCCTGCAGTACTGCATCTAACCACTGCACCAGCATGGCTCATAATGTTATATATGTCTTCCCATACATGATTTGAAAAGACCAGTTAGCGGGTTACATCTTCCCATTTATATGTACTGGTAGGTGGATTGAGAAATATATTTTTGCAATATATTTTCTCCTTGTTCTCTTAACTATCCCAGTCCAGCAAGGGAGATCGTATAGATCAGATTTTCTCAATCTTGGCAACTTTAAGATGCCTAAGACTTCTGCAGCCTGCTTCATTGCTGAGACATTGCTGAGATGTGAAGCGAGTTGTGGGTCAAAATCCACACCGTGAGATTTGTACCAACTCTTTGACTTGCTTGCTTGACCTTTGTAAGGCATGCCCTATTTTCCCAAGACTGGTCCTCAACCTGCAATTTCTGGATGCATTATATTGAAAGAACAATGGCAAATTCCCAACCCACAGATGCTAAGTTGGGAAGAATTGATCCTAGATTATACATGCTATGTTTCAGGGTGTGCAAGCTGTACAATATACAGCAAGTGCCATTCGGTATTCCTTCTATAACAATCCTTTTCTTTTTTTAATTTTTCTGTCTCCAAACCATTATTGTCATTCATCTATCAAGGATCTTGAATATCACAAATACACAGGTAAGAGTGTAACACAACAAGGACAATGGTCACAGAATTACCGAATTTCTCTTTCAAGCATATTTGCAAAGTTAATACAGAAGTCAACCCTGGTCTGTTCAGTTTTGTAATGCTGGTTCCCCACTGTCAAGGTTGATATTGGTTGCAGAATGTTGTTTATGCACTCTTCTTCCTTGGTTTGACAGCTTAGCTTTGATTAGAACAACACAAGGTAAAGCCTACTAGCCTAAACTGAAATATTTATGCAGAGAAACCTCTCACAGAAAGATGGAACTGTTGAAAACACTTAGGCCAAATATGCAAGTGGTAGCATATGCAGATTTGGATGAAGATGAAAACAACTTCATTTGTCTTTCAGAAAGAAAATGTCAGGCCTTGGAGCCATCTTTTACATTGGGCTTTCAAGCCTGCCACATTTTCCGCTGTGGGAAAATGGGAGGGGTGATTATATGGAGTATGGGAGATATATAGTCAAAATAACATTCCTTTCTCAGAGAGTCAAGGACACCTTGCCCTGCAGCTGTGATAGTGTGACTGGGAGGCATCTCCTGTTTTGGATGGTGCCTGATTGGGCCATGGGATGGACATATGGGTGCTGGGCATGGACTTGAACTCTCATTTGGGTGGGGAAAACCTGGAAACTTTTAGATTTGGGTTTTCCCAGATGTGCCAATCTGACATCTCTCTTAAAATGGAACTTTGATGAAACTCAAGCCTCGGAGTCTTCTTTTGTTGGGGGTGTTATTTGGAACCCTGACATAAAATGCATATTAACATTTCATTTTCCTAGACTTCATCTATTGTACAATGTAACCCAGGGGTGTCAAACTCACGTTGTCACGTTGTCGTCACGTGATGTATCACGACTTTTTCCCCTTCGCTAAAATGGGGGTGGGCGTGGCCAGTGCTGTGGCACGACAAAACCGCGCTCCACTAAAGCGCGCCCGATTAAACCGTGTCGCTGACGTCATCAGCAGGGCGACAACAGCG